GGTTAATCATTAGATTTATTTTAAAATGTTTGATATAATTTGTAATTGATTAATTATATGTTATACTTGAAATGCCTTTTTTTTTTTAAACAAAGATATATCTCTATTTTACCTAATGGATTAATACATTTTCTCTCCTAATCAAATCATATTTTAAATAAGCAGACAAAAACCAATGTAAACATAAAGAACATTAGAACTTGACTTCACCAAAGGATCAAATCAACCAGACTAGAAATTAATCAAACTATAAGAGTGATTTCAGTAATCATTCCTTTTACATTGCAATCAACTTTAAACAAGCTTGCAAGTTACCCATGGCATTATATGAGTGCCTGAAAACTATTCTACTAACAAAAGCAAAGCACTCAACAAGAAAGAGTTCAAGAAGATTGCCGGTAAAGCTCCAGAATAATGTAATCATACTCAGGCCCTGATCAGCTGTGGGAATTAAGGTGAAAAACTTGGCAGTTTGGCCGATAGGATCTCTTGTTGGCAACCTGCTCGAACTTTCTAGAAGCTGCCTGGTTCTCTTCCAAGCCCGTTTGGATGAAATATCTAATCCACCATGAATAACTCCGTAACTTGGCCTGGCATTAGATGATTCCAAAAATCAAATGTCACACACTGCAGAGCGAGAACTAGCATATAGTATATCGTCAATTGTGAATATAACTGAAAGAAGATGGCTAGACTTTTGTTCCTGTGAGTTCAAAAGAAAAAGAAGAAAAGCTGCATACTATAGTCTTTGTTATGTCGTAGAGCCTAATTTTTTGCCCTAAGAAATGCTGTAATTCTCCATAATAAATTTATAGTGAAATCTATAGCAACTTTTTTCTGTTATTTACTCTTTTTCACTCTGTGTTTGAATAGGCTTCATCTATTCCCCAATAAGTCTGTAAAACGGAGACAAGTTTACTTGAAATGTATGTTAGGTGAGAAATTATTCTGTGCGGACACCGGATTGTCTGGAGGTGAATTAGAACAGGCCATGTCACCCGGTACACATCCACGATAAACAGTAAAAAAATGACGTGGTGCATTCTGATTCTTCTCCGGACAGCGTCCGTATCCGCACAACATAATTTTACCTGCTAGGCAGCCCTCAAACGCTGAAAGTTAAAATTTATTAAAGATGACAAACATTGAGGGATGGGATATTCAAAAAGTCCAAGGAAGATTGTTTGCAGAGAAAGGCTAGAGATGCCATGTTAAGGCAAGATACCAATAAAAAAAATTAATTTTTTTTTTCAATAAAAAAAAAACTGCACTGTTTAATGCATGGAAACAAAATTTTGAATTTGCATGATGATCCATTACCGCCACGTTTCGTCTATTTAAGCAGTTTCGTGTGGAAAAAACCCATTTGAAGGAACCATTATTAGGTCAGGTGTCCTGACGTAGTTCTACGTTCGAACACCAAAAATATGTCGCCACGTGCTCTTACTCTTTACCGCGCTGCCGGAAAACCCGACCCGGACCGGAACCCGATATTGCTATGTTCGCGTATTGCTAGGTATTGCTCGGTATTGTTCAGTATTGCTAGGTATTGTTTGTCAAGAACGAGAAATACCGCTCTGTCAAGACCAATACCGAGCAATACCTAGCAAAATCGATGTATTGTTCGGTATTGCTAGGTATTGGTCTTTATATAATGATATTTCTCGTTCTTGACAAACAATACCTAGCAATACCCCAGTCTGCATAAATCAGCCAATACATAGCAATCCCGTGACCGGTCCGGGTCGGGTCGTCAGGCCGCGCGGTAAAGAATAAGAGAGCATGGCACCATTTTACTGACGTCCGAACGTAGAACTACGTCAGGTCACCGGACCAAATAAAAGTTCCATTTGAAGGGAGTTAAAGTTGAAAAGGATGAATGAAGGGAAAACAATTGGCAATTTTAGGGACTACGAATAAAGGGGCATGGTAGAAATGTAAAAGAACGATGATGCTTCAAATGTCTTGAGTGTAAACAAGCTTAAAAAGAATTTGAAAGTTGTTGCCAAACTCTGAGATATAATCCCGCCTATATCAAGAACAATTATTACGTCCTCCGACCGGACGCAGAGGAACGTCCGGTCGGAGGCCAAATCCCGTCAAAAAACGAGTTGTACCGAGCAAATACCGAGCAATACCAAACAATAACGAGGAATACCATCATTTGAAGACCCAATACCGAGTTATACCGAGCTAAACCGAGAAATACCAAGTTATACAAAATTTGTACCGAGTTTTTCTTAGAAAAACTCGGTACAACTCGGTATTTCTCGGTACAGCTCGGTATAACTCGGTATTGGTCTTCAAAGAGCGGTATTCCTCGTTAATATCAAATAATACCTAGTTGTACCAAGCAAATACCGAGTTTTTTTGCGGGATTTTGCCTCCAACCGGATGTTCCTCTACGTCCTTACACCGGACATAATAAAAGTTCCTATATCAAATATGTGCTTCATCAACAAATTTTATTAATAAATAAATAAATAAATGATTCAAGAGTCAAACCTTACTAATCTCTGAAACCCCCTGCTACATCATATAATTATAATCAGGCATGTACTTCAAACCAATTCACGACTCCCTATAGTAATGCTTAGTTTATGCAATTTTTAAGTAAATATAGATTTAATGGCAGGCATAAAGTCATGTCATGATTATTCGACAAGTTTTATGCTGGCTATCAACTACCTAACACAACCCTCAATTTTTCTCATCCAGGACTTGAGACCTGACAACGGCTGTGTTAACTCTATACGTGAAAAGACTGGAGTAGCGCCAGTGGAAGATAAGATTAGAGAGAATCGCCTTAGATGGTTTGGTCACATAAAACGGTGGCCTTCCGATGACCTAGTTAGGAAAGTAGAAGTATTAGATTTAATTTATGTTAAGGTAGAGGTAGACGGTAGACCTAAAAAGACTTGGTTAGAAAATATTAGAAATAATCTTTTTTTTATTAGATTTAAATGAGAATTTGACTTTTAGTAGAACACTATGGAGAAAAAAGATTCATGTAGCCGACCCCACATAGTGGGACAAAGATTTGATCATGATGTTGTTGTTGTTGTATAGATTTAACGGCATAAAGTCATAAACTGCTGAAAACTGATAACATAGACAAAGTTAAATATATAAGATAATATAATGAAAACATAAAAGCTTCAGCAACGAGCATGCACAAAGCTATAGCTTTGATCTGAACCCTAAAAAGTTGGACTAGCAAATATAGAAATTCAAACAAACAGTTATGCATCCAAAGCTTATGGGGAAAAAAAAAAGAACGAATGCATTTCGTACGATCATCACAAATAAATCAAAACTTCTACAAGTACAATTAATATTTGGTACCACAATAATCAGGAATCATTTTAAGGAATGCAGGCACTCATTGTCGAAGTATAGAGTAGAATTGATATGCTGGACATACCGGTCTTCCAAATTTGGATAGCTCAGAAACTTTAGCTCTCTGCTGGCCGGGATAACCTACATAAGAAATGAAAGCAATGAGAACGATTAGCAATTTTACAATTGCTATCTTTTTAAAATTTATGAATAGAAAAGAAAAATAATTCCCAGAACATTTTTAATCAAAGAATTAGACTCAATTATTAAATCATTCCCTGGATAATGCTGACCTAAAAGCATCAGCAGCAGCAGCCTTATCCCAGCTTGGGCCTTTATGAATCCTTAAAATCCATTCATTCCTATTAGATGTTGCAAATGTTATTAAGGCTTTGTTTGGGACGGCTTTCTTACTACTTCTTAAAGCAGCTTTCTAGTTCAAAAACTAAAAATTTTGAACTAGAAATCTGTTTTAAGAAGTAGGAAAAAAGCCGTCCCAAACAAAGCTTAAATCTAGATGATACACCGTAAAAGGGACAATTGCCCCCAAGTATTGATCATCTTTCCATCTCTTCTATTCTTCCATATATATTAAGGCATATTGCCATAGATCTACATGTAAAAAAGCAGGCAATTTTCCTACAACTATTGACCCTCCTTCCATCTCTTTCAATACAGAGATCTCCATCCTTCCATCTCTATTAAAGCACAGATTTACATCCCTCCCTAATGACTAAGGCTTCGTTTGATTTCCACCGGAGTTTTATTGATTTTTAAACGGAAGTATCATAACGGAGAAGCGGAATTTTTTTACTTCTGAAATCGGTGTTATTTCGGAGTTATATGTAAAGGTCTTTTAAAAAAGTGACGCAAACAAACATTAAAATACTTATTTTTTTCCGATTGAAACTGCAAACGGAAAAATTTATGCGCTACCAAACGAAGCCTAACTGCAATTTTCCTACAACTATTGACCCTCCTTCCATCTCTTTCAATACAGAGATCTCCATCCTTCCATCTCTATTAAAGCACAGATTTACATCCCTCCCTAATGACTAACTGACCGACCAAAAATTGCAATGTCTTTTTTTGTATATAGTTACCTTCATCAATTACAACCATCACATAAACTAATACAAAAAAAATTAGACCATCTTTTTTTTAACTTAAGTGCCGCTATTATATGTTATGTGGGGTTCTTGTACATGGCATGTCATGCTTTGAGAAAAGAGGAATGCTAAAATTATAGAAGAACATGAAAAGTTGAAATGTGTCGTGCTTTAATTACTCTCCTCTTTAATCTCCTTTAGATCCCTTCATTTTTCCTATTTTGATTCCTTTTTATCTATCAACCCCGCCACTCTTCTCCTTCTCTAGTTTCTTGAATTCAAGTCCACCAAGAGAATAATGAGAAGAGTGAAGATACAAAAAAAAAACCTAGACACACACAGAGAGAGAGAGAGAGAGAGAGTTCTTGTTAGCTAGAAATTAGGGTGGCAACGACAGAGTTTGGAAACTATTAGTCTAAGGGTCAGCTACCTAAGAGGAGAGGATGACTTGAAAACAATCTTCATTACATTGAATTTTCCCATTGGCCTCCATTAAATACATTATCAATGGCTCATATAGGCTACCAGAATCAAACCCATAATCAAAGTTTGATTGGGTGATATATCTCCACCATAATCTGCCAAAACCTAGATAAAATATATCCAATTAATATATTTATTATAAACTATCTTAGTATGGATCTCCTAATCCCTATCACTAGTAAGAAACCTACACTTAGTAATGTCTACGAATAATACCTTGATAGTGACAAGGAGATAATGCATCTGCTGCTGATATATACTGGCACGTTATATGAGATTGTGTACATGGCCTCTATCCCGCATGCTAATCGCTTCTCTCCCCTCCAAATGAACCTTACATTTTCTTGCTTATAATCTGTCTTTTGTGTCTTCATCTCTATCAGGGAGCACAAACCGATGCTCATTTTCCCCGTCTTCTATCCCAACTCATTCTCATTCATCCCCAAAATTGGTTGCACTTAGGTTTTCAGCCGAAACCCCAATTCAACCACTATTTTTCCAATGACCTCTATCTTCTCAAAGGCTCCTCTTCTTCTTGCAACATCATTGGGAGCGGGCACAATGACTCCGAATATTTCAAGGCACATTCGAAACTGGGAAAATCAAACTTTCAAACATGGGGAGCAAATAAATATTCAGATCCTATCCTCAACCACTGTGATTCTTGCTCCTCCATCAGGTCAAGTATGCATTCAAATTTTGGAACCAATTTTTTACTTTCCTTCAGAAGCAAAGCCTGTTGTGCCTGCCCCTGCTAGTCCCATGAATATGGTTGCTATATCCTCTATAAGCAAGAACAAGCCTATCAATCCTCCTACTCTTGAAGCACACCTCATCTCCCTCCAATAAATGAAATTCACATCAGCTTATCATTCGGATGAAACATTCAGAGCATTGATATTCTGACAGATAAGATATTTCAAATCTTGTTTGTCAAATAGAATAGGAATTAGGAAGAAAAAAAAATTAATGAACGCTCCCCTAAATCATTAAGCTTTGAATTAAGGAACTTAAATGAGTGGCTTTTTTAGCTTTCCTAATACTAGGTATTTTTTTTCATTTTTTACAATGTTATCTTTATTTTGTCTTAGATGTTTGTTTCTTTTTTCTCTAACGATTCTTTACAATTGCCTTTTGTTATACTCAAATCATTTTCTGGTCATAAAGTTATGTTTCATACAAAAAATAAATAGTTAGTTGTGGCTTATAAATGAAATCAAATAAAAAAAGCAGAAATCTTGCATCCTTATAATAAAGGATTTCTCTAAATAGAAAACCTAATTATTTGACATTAAAACGCTTATGACTAAGAATAAGTAATCTAGTTATTATCACTAGTCTTTGAAAAGGTTACATGAGCAAGCTATCTCAAAGAATTGACAGTATAAAAAGCTAAGAAATAAAATACATTGGAACAAGATAATTTTGAAATTGAGTGATCTATCCACATGGAGATAGAACAGGGGGTAACATCCAATCATGACTCTTTAAGTATCAATAAGTTCGACAATCATATCTAATGATACAAGAGATGGAACAGGGGCTAACGTCCAACAAATCAACAATAGCAAAAATAGCAAAAGAAAGGCACTACCTGAAGAGAGAACTTTGGAGGCATAGCTGGAGTCTAAGAACATCCTTGGGGGGGTGGGGGACGAAGGCTAAGGGAGCAATTCTAAGAACATCCTTGGGGGGTGGGGAACCAAGGCTAAGGGAGCAATCCCTAGCAAGATGGGAGGCCCAGAATGATCATGAGTATTTAACACGCAAACATCCTACAAGCCCATATCATGATCAAAAGAGTACTCCCCAATAAAAAGGCTAAGAAAGCAATCCCTAGCAAAATAGGAGACCCTAAGTGATCATGAGTATTTAACACACAAACATCTTACAAGCCCGTACCATGATCAAAAGAGTAATCCCCAAAATGATAAGGTCCCTTGAATAAGATTTTTTGATACTTCGTGAGCTATAAAGCAATCAATATAATCATGAAAAAATATTTTGCATGGATGGCAATATTGGGGTAAATCCTCAAATTTTACTCTTTGTTGATAACCATGTAAAGAAGTTCCAATCACCTCTCAACCCAACAGGGTAGAAACATCTATCTCAATAAGAACATGGATCACACTCAGACAGGCGAGTTGAGTGGTAGAAGCATCTACTTGTATCAGTTTCCCAAGAATTGATCCCAAATAGAATAATATAAATGGATTAATGCAGTGGACACATATGGGAAAAAATAATGCAAATCGAGATAACAAGAGGCTCCTCAGAAATATCAAAATATGGGGATCATTAGCATACACATTGGTAAATCCGTCACTTGATATGAATGTCGAGACAATAGTCTTGAACAATCTGCTTTTAAAAACTCTTAATTAGTAGGCAGGGATTAAGAAGTCTTAGAAAGAAATCATCTATCAGCTAAGCTAAGAAATAAAAGTATGAATAATCTCCAAGCTTGGGCAACCAAGAAAAATTTACCACCAAGCAAGATATAGGAAAAAGGAGTCACCACATCAAAAATCTCAACATCAATAAAAATAAGAGAGGATTTACCTTGAAAGGCAATGGGTGGCTTATGTCTCACATAGTTCAATCTATGTTGAAAGAATGAAGCGAAATTGGCAAGTAGATCTGAATGCAAAAAAACCTTTCCTAAAACAACATCAACAAACAAAACAGGGCAGAGAAGTTGTGGGAGGCAAAGTAGTCGCATATGAAAAAAAAAATTAGAAAAGAGTTGATGCATAGCCGCCAACTACAGAACCATCAAGATAAGATTGGCAAAGATGAGTCAGTAAAAACAAAATATGAGGTGAAGCTCAACGTCAGTGTCGGGAAGGGAAAAGGAGGGAAAGAAGCCCTAAGAAGTGAGATGCAATTCGGGTTACGTAAAGAAGAGCATAGCCAAGACACCAACAGTACATGAGCTAAAAAAAAGAAAGGAGAACAACAACAAAGTAGTACTAGAAACAACAAGAGGATCAGCATAGAAGGCAACAAATCAGATTGCGCTGATGAAATGAAGAAAAAAGACCACATAGGTGCTGCTAGAGGGGTGGAGTAGGAGGACAATGATCAACAGACAACGATGAGTTGTAGTTAGTCGCCATAAGCACATGGGCTAAGCGAATGCATTGGGAGCCATGCAAGGGCCAAGAGCATAGACAATAAGGATCGTAGAATGGGTACTACAAGACAATGCATGTGTGAATGGAGAAACAAAGTGCAATGACGATGATGATCCACAAGTAGCACTTAGCCAATGGTAGTGGTTCACGAGTGCAATAGACTCACAAGCAAGTGGAGCATGCATGGGAACAAATGAGAATGATCGTATGGTAAAGTATATTTGCACTAATAAGGCCCAATATTTTGAATTATGAATACATGAACATTTCAAGATTAATGTTTTTGTCTTCCAATACTACTTTAATTCAAATTAGACCTAAATTTCCATTTCCATTCTGAAGCTCCTAAGTTGTTCAGCAAACATTCAAAATTTTCCTCCACATAAGCCACTAGATAGTGATTGATTGTTAAAAATCATTAGCATTGTTAAAAGTAACCAAATGTTGTATTTTTATTATTTTGAATCCTAGCAGTTTAAAATTTATGAAGGTGAAATATGAATGACTATTTTTAAATGGCTAGTAATCTGTGTGCGCGTATCATTGTGTGTTATTTTTTGAAGGAAATAATACGAGCCTATGAAATTAAGGTAGCTCAATCAAATAGTTGACACAAACAAAGAATCAAAGGCATCAATTGTGTGAGTGTATCAGCTTTTGAATGACATAACATGAGCATATAAAATCAAGGTAGCTCAACGAAATAGTTGATGCAAGCAAAGAATCGAAGGCATCAATGATCAAAAGAAAATGCCAGGGACAACCAGGGTCTACAAACACAGCAAGACTGCCTACTCCCTCTATGCTATCAGGCAGTACTTCACAATCTCATAATAAAATTCCAACCACAAAATATATCAACAGAGAGGAACAATATTGCTGATAAAAAGCTGGTAGAATATGACCATCTAAAAAAAACAAGAATTAAAAACATTAAATGATTCATGAAGTTACCAGCAAATATAACAAGACCATCTGCAGAAACCCTTGCCAAGTCTGGCAGGGTTTTGTTAAGGTACTTTGGAGACAGATAATCCAGGGAATCTGACACTATCACAACAGAAAATGATTTTGGCCTGTAAGGTAGAGGAAACTTGATATCAGCCACACGAACAATGCCTTTCTTAACAAGGTTCCTACAGCTACTATCAGCATCTTCCAAATCGTATGGTTCAACACCCCAAGCTTCAGTTTCTTCTTCTTTTAACAACATGGAAACTACTGAACAAGTTTCAGGGCCCACATGCAAAACCTTCTGCATGCTCTCACCGTACACTTTCTTCAGTATTGGTATTGCTCGCTGAACTTCTGCAGTGCAAGAAATACCTGCATATGAACAAGAAATCTACATTTAGGAACGTTCAAAAGTTTGACAATTAATCAACTCGAGCTGAAGTAACAAAGAAAGTCGCGCATTAATTAATCAAATAGATGAATAATGGAAAATGCGGCCATCTTTTTTTTATGGTTAAAAATAAATTAATGAGTAGATCAATAAAGAAGCAAAGAATAAAGTAATCTTAAACAATCTAGAACACATTTATGTATATATATATATATATATAGATGCCGATGCCAAACATCAAGAAATAGAATTTTTTTTAATTAAGAATTAGGATTTCACAATGATAGATCTCCGAAATAAACTGCCGTCAAGACCACAAGAATTCCCCAAGGAAAATACATTTCTGACATCAACAGGCACATCATTGGATGGGTCAAATTTGAAAGAACTGGTTCAACTCAACTCCATCATGCCAATATTAACCGTCAATCAGGATAAAGTTCAGATGTGATTACCATAAAACAACTCAAGGGTTCATATGTAATTACCATAGAACAACTTAAGGATGGTCACGATTTAGTTTGGTCAAAACCAACCATGGTTTCGACTGGTCATGAAAGATTAAAATCAAAACCAAAAACGATCACAAGTGAAACCAAACCAAACCAAACTATTCAGTTAAATTTTGTTTCAACTTGAAAAAACCAAAAAATAATGTTTTGAATTGGTTTGGTTTGGTTCGAATTGATACTTTCTTATTCAATTCAATTCAAATTGCCTCTGTTTAACATACATTACAGATAGAGAAGAGGTTTAAAGGTTATAAATTTACAACTAATTCTTTTTTTCTTTTTCTTTTTCTTTTTTTAATTGAGAGAATAGTCAAAATGATTCCTAGAGTATTTATGGGAGAGTATTTTAATCCAAAATCATCTAATGTATTCAATTTAATCTCTCAACTCCTCAAATATAATTGAAAATAATTCCTTGGCTGTTCAAATCTGATCTAAAATAATCCAACAAAAGGATTATTTTAGATCATATTTAAAAAGTCAATGGACTAAATTGAACATATTTACAGCATGAAACAAAAATTATAAATAATTCAAAAATCATTTTCATATTCTTAAAAAATATTTCTCTTTGCTTGTATTTGTTTTCATTTTATCCAATTTTTCAAAATCTCAAACCTAAATTAAACCAAAGTAATATCTTTATACAACAACAACAATATCAAGCCTTTGTCCCACTACGTGGGGTCGACTATATGAATCCTTTTTCGCCATTGTGTCTGGTTAAAAGTCAAATTCTCATTTAAATCTAATAAAGAAATATCATTTCTAATATTTTTTTAACCAAGTCTTTTTAGGTCTACATCTACCTTTCTTAACATAAGTCAAGTCTAATACGTCGACTTTCCTAACCGGGTCATCGGAATGCCTCCGTTTAATGTGACCAAACCATCTAAGGCGACTCTCTCTAATCTTATCTTCCACCGAAGCTACTCCAACCTTTTCATGTATATGCTCATTTTGTATCCTATCTCTAAGGGTCAAGCCACTCATCCACCTAAGCATCCTCATCTCTGCAACACTTAACTTAGTATTATGCTTCTCTTTTAATGGCCAACATTCAGCACCATAAAGCATTGCAGGTCTCACCACCATCTTATAGAATTTTCTCTTAAGTTTGAGGGAAACTTTTCTATCGCACAATAAGCCTGATGCATTCCTCCACTTCAACCATCCAACTTGAATTATACTGATAATATCCCCATCAATTTCACCATCACTCTGAACAATAGATCCAAGATATCTAAAACGTGTACTCTTATTAAAGAATTGATCGCCAAAAGTCACAATCTCATCACTAGGTCTATTGCTACTAAAATTACACTCCATGTATTCAATTTTAGATCTATTCAAGCGAAAACCTTTAGACTCTAAAGTTGACCTCCATAATTTGAGTTTACCTTCAACTCCCTCTCTAGTCTTATTAACAAGAAGAATATCATCAGCAAAAAGCATACACCAAGTTACATCCCCTTGCAAATGTATAGTGAGAACATCCATGACTAAAGCAAAAAGATATGGACTTAAGGCTGATCCTTGATGTAATCCAACCGAAATAGGAAAATATTTGGTCAAACCACCTTTTGTTTGAACACAAGTAATAGCTCCTGCATACATTTCTTTAATGATTTGAATATAAGCATTATTAACTCCTTTCTTTTCAAGAATTCTTCATAGCACTTCTCTTGGAACTTTATCATATGCTTTCTCTAAATCAATAAATATCATATGTAGATCCTCCTCTCTCTATATTTCTCCATCAAACCTCTCAATAAATTTATCACTTCCATAGTAGACCTACCCGGCATGAATCCAAATTGATTTTGAGAAACATTAGTATCAGGTCGCAACCTACGCTCCATAACTCGCCTCATAGTTTTAAAGTATGACACATTGACTTAATTCATCTATAATTCGCACACTCATGTGCATCACCTTTATTCTTAAAATAGGAATTAACGCACTCATTGTGCATTGATCTGGCATCTTTTTAGTCTTCAAAATAGTATTAAAAAGTTTAGTAAGCCAAAAAATTCCTTCATCTCCTAAGCATTTCCACATCTCTATTGGAATATCATCAGGTCCAACAGCTTTTCCACACTTCATTTTCTTTAAAGCCTCTCTAACTTCGGTTTTACTTATACGCCGATAAAAATAAAAATTTTTATTTTCATTTAGGGTGATAAAGTCAATCGTATTTTCACATTATTCATTAAAAAGTTTAGCAAAATAGCTCATCCACCTTTGTTGAATATTATCTTCTAAGAAAAGTATTTTTTGATATTCATCCTTAATACAGTTCACATGAACTAAATCCTTACTACTCATATCTCTTTGTTTGGCTAAACTTATACATATATCTTTCTCCCTCCTTAGTATCTACTATACTATATAAATCATTAAAAACTAAACTCTTTGCATCGCAAATAGCTTTCTTAGATTCCTTACGAGCATCTTTAAAGCTTTCCCAATTATCAGAATTTTTACATCTAAACCAATTTTTATAACAAATTTTCTTATTTTTTATCTTTTCTTACACATTTGGATTCCACCACCAACTATTTTTATTATTAGGAGATTTTTCCTTCGAAATTTCAAGCACATCTTTACAATAGTCTTAATATCACAAGTCACTTTTTTCCATATAATATTGGCATTCTCATACACAGACATAATCTTAAGATCTAAAATCTTACTCTCAAAAATACTTTTGTTAATATTCTTTAAATGCCCTCATCTAATACTAGAAAATCATTTTACTTTATTTTTTACTTTTCGTCCTTTATCTTAAAGTCCAAAACTAATAATCGATGTTGGGTACATAAATGTTCACTCGGAATAACTTTACAATCTTTGCAATCTAAACAATCTAATTTTCTTATAAGAAAATAATAAATCTGCGTTTTACTATATCCATTTTTATAAGTGATATGATACTCATCTCTTTTCTTATATAAAGTATTAGCTATTAAGAAGTCATAAGCTAAAAAAATCTAATATAGTCTTACCACCTTCATTTGTTATTCCAAACCCATGGTCACTATGGATGCTTTAAAATCATCTATCTCTCTACCAACATGTCCATTTAAATCTCCTCCAATAAAAAATCATTCTTCAAGAGATATATTTTGTATTAATTCTTCTAAGTTATTCTAAAATTTTAATTTTGAACTCATATTCAAACCTACTTGTTGAGCATAAGCATTTATAATATTAACAATCTTAGCATCAACAACAATTTTTAAAGCTATAATTCTATCTTCAATTCTGTTAATTTTTATAACATTATCCTTCAAACTCTTATCTATAATCACACATACACCATTTCTAGTACGACTCCTACCGAATACCATAGTTTATATCCTAAACTATTAATCTCCTTAGCTTTCTCTCTAACCCATTTAATTTCCTAAATGCACAGAATATTTATCTTCCTATGAATCATAATATCTATTAATTCCATAAATTTTCTTGTAAGGAAGCCTATATTCCAAGTTCTTATCCTAATTTTAGTTTCATATACTAACTTCTTTGCCCACATCTGTCCTTGATATGGAAACCCTTACCTATTTAACATTGCACCCGGGCGTCGGTGCAGCTGTTCTTGCACACTTGTCACTGTATTCATGCCATATAGTGCGTCGCTTTCAGGGGACGCCCTAGCATTAACACAATTTTTTAAATGATTACTGTCATGATTATTCAACAAATTTTATGCTTGTTGTCGACTACCTAATGCAACCCTCCATTTTTCTCATCCAGGACTTGGGACCTAGCAACGACAGTGTTAGTAATATCTTTATACAAAGTAACAATTTTAAATCAATTAAATCTCAAACCAAATTGATCAAAAAAATTTATTTGTTTTTTCAATTTGGCTTGGTTTTTAGATTTAGATATTTTTTTCCACATACAAAACATAATGGACGTAGGTGTTACCAAGTTTATGATGATTGTCTGCAACATATTTTAAGTCTCAAACATTACATATGGAAGCAATAGGACCCAAAATTAATCTACAAACCCCTATCAACCACTTCTCCAAGGCCCATCGGCCTCCTTTTTTAAGTCAGCAATGGAGGCCAAAGTTTTTAAAAGACCTCACTAGTTGGGTGGACAATCAACCAAAAAGGATAGGAAGGCACTCTACCACACTTTAGGAACTTGGAAGGGTTAGCCATGGGCATTTCCTCTAGTAATAATCGTTCTCATTTACATGCAAGAGAGTAGCTTCACCCACCCCCAGCACACACATTGAGGTCTCAAGTTAAGAGTTTTAGCACATACAAAAAACTTTATCAAAAAATCAAAACACATATGAATGAATTCAATTCTATTACTCAAGACTTGAGCAATATTTATGTGTTGGTTGATGAACGGAATTAAATGTTGTCGTTATTATGCTCTTCACATCCCTCTTTAAAGCATGTGGTACTATATTGTATGGGTGTGGGCTCCAAAAATTCGTGCCCCGGCCTCTCCAGTACCCCCTTTCTATTTTTGTGGGTCATCGAGGAGAGTTTTAACGAGTATGTTTTGAGGCAAATTTTTAGGAGACAAATTGGATTTTGAATAAGACATTACCCAGAGATTTTGCTCTCATTTTACGAGAACTTTATGATCTGAGTTCAAGTTTCCTATAGGAGCAAGCCCCTATAGTTAATTATCCCTCCTAGTAACGAAAGATAACTTTTGATTAATGCTAGTTGTCAAACAAATACGTAGTATCCGGTGTAGAGTAGCAGCATGTTTAAGCATTTAAAATTTAACATTTAAAATTAGAAATTTACCACCTTGCACTTCAAGTTGATGGTAGGGGGAGTGATGATAGACCCGATCAGGATCCCAAGGTTCCGTCGTCCCGGGTCATCATGATCATAGGTCTACCTAATCAGAGGGGGTAGTCAACCCAACCTGACAAAAGAATCCTTGTCGGCAACCATGGGCTGTTTCGTCTAATGGTACCTCATAGACATAGGGTGAATATTTGTCTAAGGGGATAAATTTTAATCCACCTTTACTAACAGAGGGCTTTTTGCATTACCGATCATATCCTCTTGATTCATTACTCAAGGATTTGAAGCCGTTGGGAACATACAGGCTCTGACCATGACCGTAATTTGATGGTGCAGGGTCCCGGTCATAACCATTTACCTGTGATGTCATTTGGCGGTGAAACAACCGATTAAAAAACACGTGCCATGTCCCTATTAGCAAAAGATGATTTGAGAATAATCTTAGTGATATTCTCGACAAAAAATTTTCTCTTTGTGAGTTGAAGTAATTTTCTAACTTGTCTACCCTGACAAACCATTGCGAATGGTGGATGAATTTTGCTTTAAGTGTTTAGGAGCTTTTATTTCAATTTTAAATATTTCAGGTTTTGGTGACTTTTTTGAGTTTCGGATTTTCATGAGAATTTGGAAGGCATTTTCAAGTATTGGGGGCCCCCTCCGGTTGAGATTTCCCATCAACACGGTCATCATCGGGATGACTATATTGTCACTTTAAAAGTTTTTACTTCATGGGAATTTGGGAGACATTCTAAATATTTGAGGTTTCCTTCGGTTGAGAGTTTCTATTAACATGGCTATCATCGTGCTATTTATGGGCACTTTTATTTTGTTGGTGAATATTGTTAATTCTATCCATTTGTCGACTCTGTCTATATGCCGACAAATGATCAGGTTTGTCATCTACTTTATGCCTTTATTAGTGAATCTTTCTTGTAATAGACCTTGAAGGTATAATATGAACGTATAAAACAAATATCTCAATCAAAGCTACGACCGTATATTTGTTTAACGGTTTTCATAAGTCACGTGTGTGCATACATCATGCTTGTCGGGGATCATGCGGGTATTTAATTACATGTATGCATGTACGTGTGTATATGTATGGTAGTCATACATACACATATATTAAACAATATCTAACTTCGTGAGTTGTGCATGGCTCAGAATTTGGCTTGCTTGAAAATAGAGGAGTTTTTTTTTTGTTTTGTATCTCTTCAAGAGAAGAATTCTATTTAGCCCTAGGGAAACTAAAGCAGCACAAGAAAAGTAAGTATATGTTATTTTCTAGAATATCATAGCATTGAATCGTCTCAACATATATTTAAATATTAATTTAATTTAATTATTAGTAATCTTTTTATTTCAAATTACAATTGGATTAGTAAGAATTATCCTGATTTAGATTAGTTTTTAATTGAATTTGGGTTTATCTTACCCTATTTTTATAAATAAGGATTTTATTGTTCTATTTGGGTCATTGATAATTGAATGAATTGAAATTAAAAACTCTACTATTATCATTCCTCTCCATCGCATAATTTCAATTAAAAACTAATCTAATCGATGGACTCCAATTTCTCTTCACAATCCCTTAGTAAAATCTATCATATCTTCAAGTAGATCTACTAATTTCTATGCCAGTAAATGTTCTAGATCTGATGCAAGTCATGACAGGCATATCTTCTAGTATGTTTTCTATTATCACTTTTTCTAATTTAATCCTAGCACGCTTTCTGTTAAGATTTTTTCCAATTTCTGCATTTAAATTTTTTCTTGCTACTTAGTGTGTTCATCTCGTTTATTGTCCTCTAGGTTTGCATATATAAATTGTCTTAAAGTTTATATCGTTCTGGAGCATGATTTTACATAACTATTTACTACAAACCTATAAGAGATAATTGATGCTTATATTTTCAAACCATGACTGGATTTTTTTTTTTTTTGACTCCACAAATATCTGGCTTGATGTCGATAAAGAAAGCAAACTCTAACTGATAAGGAAGATGTTCCGACAACCTGCGAAATCGGTACTAACCAAGGCATCAAAACTCATAATTGCATATGGTCAAATAAACACAAATTAAGATTACTGATGTCACCTGGAAATTAAAATAATAATGCAGTTAAACAATAAACAGTACAGCGTACTCCTAAAAAAGTAAAAAACCAATTATAAAGGTAAAAGCTGACATTTTTTTTGTGCAGTCGTTGCATTTTAGAATGGTAAAATGGAGAAAGTGACGAATAAATGCCAGCTCCAAAAGAAAGGCCTACCTTCACCTCTGTTCAAAGCATCTTTTTCACTGTCATAACCTGCCCATGCAACATTAAATATATTTTTGAGTGGGTACAAATGATTCATTACAGAAAAATATGATGAAGGAAAAAAATATTAGCAATAACTACTAAATTTTGCTTGAGATAAATCCCCAGCGCTGTTAACTAATAATCTAATAGTTCTAATCTGCATTGATATGCAAGCATTTGTTATAGAGTTCGTGCATACCAGAGCCAGTATAAGTGTATCCGATGACAAGAAAGGCAACCTGGATTTCATGGTGAAAAAAAAAAGTAAAGACATGAAGGAATTGTTGTGCAATCATATAATGCATTGTGGATCATGGAATAGGAACAAATATTAGCATTACCACAAGAACAAGTCCAATTGTTAGAAAGGGAGATGAGCGGGACTTTTGTTGCAACGAGCTTGCCAGAGGAATGCTTCCATTATCAACCGCACGTCGAGATGGTAGTGCCCTTCTAGACATGACTTTTTAGTCTGCATGGAAAATCAATGGAAACATCTCAAAATACCCAAAAGGATTTCAAATCCTTTTACAGCGAAAATATTGTCTTTAAGAAGCTAAAAACATTTTGTATGGACATCGTAGACTAGTTGAAAGAAAGCATAATTTACAAGTGGTCGAGGATGCATTTTGAAGATTAGTTTAGTACGAGTCAAGGGTCTAGATTATGTGAAAGTAAGGCCTTCTTTTTTTAGGCGCATGAATCATTTTACATATTTTACCTTGTAGTTTCAATCTCTATCATGTCATTTGAGTTATAGTGTGATTCATGAATTCTTTGATTCATAAGTCATGTACTGTTTTATGTATGTGCTTGAACCAGCCTAGCCATTTCCTATACCTTATTTGGCCTTCTTTTGACCACTACATTGACAATTACCACACTATGTAACCACCACCTCATCTTTTTTAACCACTGCCCGCCCCCCATTTCTCTCCTAGCTAAGACATTATTAAAGCTTGGAACCACACTTTCTTTATGACCCTTTTTGAAAAAAATGATAAAAATCTTTGAAAATCACCAAAGACTCTGCAACTCCACTCCATTCCTCCCCCATCACTTGGGCTACTCTTGCACTAGTCATTATATTGTTAGATAATTAGATTCAAATTTTTCATGAACGGCACTTGACTCTACAAACAATATTAGTAAGCTAGAGCAAGAGAACAGGATAAAGGAATCAACAAGGAGAAAAGGACAAAAATGATCCCTTAACTCTTTGTGAGGGACAAAAATAATCCCCGACTCTTTTGAGGGAACTATTTTGAGGAACCAATTTGGTCCATCAACTCCTCCAAATGGGACTATTTTGATCTTGCCGTCAATTTAAAAAGTAAAAGTGAGATGGGCAGAAGGTTATTATCGGAACAAGCAAAGAAGAAGCGCACGAACAAAAGAAAGATGGCTACCTTCGCAACGAGCAAGCTCTCGTCGCCATCATTACTGTCGATCGCAGTTGATTTGGCCGAAGAAACACACGAAAGGAAGCAAGAAGGCTACCTTCGCAACGAGCAAGCTCCCGTCGTCGTCCTTACTTTCAATAGCAATCGATTTGGCTGAAGAAGCGTGCGAACAGAAGAAAGATGGCTACATTCGCAATGAACAAGCTCCTGTCATCATCGTTACTTCTGATCGCAGTCAATTTGGTCAAAGAAGCGTGCAAATGGAAGAAAGATGGCCACCTTCGCAACGAGTAAGCTTCAGTCGTCGTCGTTACTTCTGATCGAACAGATGAACAACGGAGTGTGATTTCAAATCCGACAGGAAAGAAAGTAGTCGAAGGAGGCAAAGAAGTTATTTAGCTAGTCATTCAAAACTCTACCCGTCAAGGGAGGCGAAGTCGAAGAGCAATGAACAGTGTATAAGGGATAAAGAAATTATGTACAATAATTAAAACTAAAATTATGTATATTTTTTTATTAAAGAAAAGATTAATATATTTTTTTACAAAACTTATAATCTCTTAAAAAATACATTTATTAAATATTTTAATTAAAAAGACTAAATTACCCTCATTCTTAACATTATTAGTTCTACCATTAGATGACAGGACTAAAAAAGCCCCATTTTGAGGAGTTCAAGAATCAAATTGGTCCCTCAAAATAATTGGGGACTATTTTGGTCCCTCACAAAGAGTTGAGAGACCATTTTGATCATTTTCTCAATCAACAAGGATAAAGAGTAAATGAAAGCTATATGATCTCTATGAACTATAAAAATGGCATAAAGCCCAAAATATGCCTCTTAACCCCTAATTTATGGGGTTAAGGAGGCTACAGGAAAGGCCACACCTAATAAAATAAAGAAAAATTACATGATTTGGCAAGTACAGGCTAACAAAGACATGTGGACTAGGCCAAAAGGTAATGTGTGGCCCTCAGCCTCTAACGTGACTCAGAACGTCCAAGACAAGTTTCCTAGGTGAGTTCTTGGGGGCAAGTGTATTGAGCGAATCCTCGAGGGAGAGTGCCTTGGGCGAGTCCTTCAAAATAAATGCTTTGAGCAACTCTATTGAGGCGAGTCCCTTGAATGAGAAACAAGTCTCCTTGACGAGCGCAGTTGTGAACCAGGGATGAATGTAATAAACTATTCATGTTCATGGGCTTTGTAGGTTTGTGCCTCCTGCTGCTTGGACTAAGATATCCATGAAAGGTAAGTGGCTTTAGCTGAGGAGAATTGCTAAGGAAGCTGAGTCCTCTTAGAGCGAGTCCCCCTTCAGGTGCAAGCTTATTGGCACGAGTCCTTTAGTCTAACCCACCAGAGATAGGCACATCCTTGATATAATCCTTCAAGGGCAAACCCACATGTGGCAAGCTCCGCTTTGGCTGATACCTGCTTATCCATAGCCTAGTTTTAGATATTGCAGTAAGAAGTATGGGCGGTAGGGGACATGGAGTCGGGGGCTATTTTGGGTGAGTGTTTCCCTTGACAGCATCCTTTGGACATAGACCTATTTGTTACCTTTGTGTTACCTTTATAGGCATGAGTGGGCATACATTTAGTTCCTTGATTTATTTGCTTCTTTGAAGAGCAACTTGTACAGAAGGATAAGGGAAATAAGAAAAAAAAAATTACAATATTCACCAAACGACTATAAAAATTGATGAAAATTAATGCCCTATTTTTACTATTACCTCGAGAATAGCGCATTCATCTAAGATTCTCATAATGACACTTGATTTGACCTCAGTACTAATTTTGTCTATAAATAGTTGTGAAGAGTATAAATATGGTCACACTCCTCCCTTTCTTTTGCCTTAACTGAGTTCTTATAGCTTGCATGAGAGATGGTCAAGTTGAGCCCTACCAAGTATGCTAATGTGGATACTCAAAAATTGCAGAAGGCCCTTCTTCGTAAATGAAAGTGGAGGTCAAAAAGTTAAAGTTCGACCAAGTTATTGAGAAGATGAAAAAGAAAAAGGTGATAGTAGTTGAACCGAGTAAGGTGATGAAGGGCGAGTCAAGTAATGCGACGAAGGTCAAGTCAAGTAAGGCTATTGTGGTCTCTTCGTCGAGTAGGGCTGCAAGCGAACCAAACGTTCGATGAGCTACTCGTTGTTCGGTTCGATTAAAGCTCGTTCGTTATCGTTTTATTAACTAAACAAACAAACTTGAACAATATTTTAAATACTCAATTCTTAAATAAACAAGCTTGAACACTAATGTGTTCGGCTCATTTATGTTCGCGAACAACATCATTTGAAGTTTGTGAACAAGCTCGACATTAAGCTCGATTCGTGTTCGATTTTGAACTCGTGAATAAGCTTGATAAAAATAATTAATATTTGATTATAGACTTAATAAATATAAATAATATAAATAGAGCTCGACATTAAGTTCGCGAACATGCTCGATGTAATCGTTTGTTAGGATGCTCGATAAAGCTCGTTTGTTAAGTTAATGAACATCTAAAAGTATAACTCGTTTATAGCTCATTCATGTTTGTTTGTTTAAAGCTCGATAAGCACTAAACGAACGAATATGAACTGAACATGAATACTCATTAATTTAAATGAACCAAACATGAACACAAACAATAAAACTCGAACAAACATGAACCAAACTTGAACAACCTGATATTAAATGAGCACAAACATGAACACTCACATACTCGGCTCGGTTCGGCTCGGTTCGTTTGCAGCCCTATCGTCGAGTTATGATGATGTGCTCCTTGCTAAAAGAAACACTAGTTGAGTCTCCGCATTATGGGGATCTCATCAAATTCTCGTTGTGGCGAGTGTCATTCCTGAGGTGGCGATCTCTCCTCACAAGGCAGTCAGACCAACAAAACTGACTCCCACCCGGGGTAAGTTGACAGGTATCCATGACCCCATGTGGAGAAAGTTGGGAAGCAACAGGAAACCAATGGAGATAAGAAGGATTCATTTTTTTTATTTTTGAAAAATTTATGTATGGAGGTCACTTGTTGTTGATCTCAAGTAAGCCTTAAATATACTAACCTTGAACAATTTTTAGGGCACCTATCAAGTGAGTTTGAGTTGTTGACTCTAACTCAATGAGCACCTAGCTTGTATGCAAGAGCATGGGATCTCCATGATCAATTGCTCGAGCTTCGCCTTAGCTTATTAGATAATGAATTACCTTTTCTTGATCAGTCACTTTATACAGTAGAGGCGACTTCAGTGGTGTAAGAAATACCAGGCCAGCAAATGACAACATCTATGGGAGCCACACCAGCAGTGAAGACTGCCACGCTAAAAAGAAGCAGGTGAAGCACTCTCATGCCCAAGAACTCCATATCACTTCTCCTTCGCCATCTTGAGCGGTCCATCAGTCTCCCCCTCCACCTAGTTGCCAAGATGTTGAGATTCCCGCATCCATTTCCTCGCTCTTGCAGGCTCTGTCGAGGTGAGCCTAGGCCTTAGAGAAGGAGCTTGCACGTGTCAAGGTTGAGTCTTAGGAGAGGAGGGGGAAAAAGACCTTGAAGAAGTTTGAACTTGCAAGTGATGAGGATATTGCATTGCACAAGGAGGTGCCAGACCTAAGGGCTGAGGTGCCGGCGATTCACAGGCTTTTGGAGTCATCGTAATTGAGCCAATTTCTTACGAGAGGCTGCTTCATCCTAGGTAGAGCGAGGCATGTTGTCTTCCTACCTCCTTTTGGATCATATGTATAAATTGTTCCTAAGGAGTGAGAGATATAAACCCGCAATATTTAACAAGGTTTGTAAAAATGTTAAAGTAAGATAAATAAAAAAATTATGTTTTTGTACTCGTCGTTTATGTTTATGGCTTACCCTTTTTGCTATTTTTTTCTTGCATTGATTTTTTTTATTTGTGACGACTATTCTTCATTTTTTACCTAAAGGCAACTTTTTGTTGGGCAAGTGACCTGATTGTAAGTGAATTTTTTGTGATGATGATGAGAGAGAGAGAGAGAGAGGTGAGATTCGGTTCATCAATGATGGGATCCATGTACATGGGCTTTGTAGGCGTGTGGCTCCTATAGCCTAGATTGGGAAATTTGCAACATGTAGGTGGCGTTTGCTGAGGAAAACTGCTGAGAAAGTCAAGTCGCCTGGGGCGAGTCCTCCTTCAGGTGAAAACTTCATGAGGAAAGTCCTCTGGAAAATTATTAGGGATAGGTGCATCATTGATCTGATCCTTCGAGGGCAAGCTCACATGCTGCGAGTTCCACTTGGGTAGATGCTTGTTTGCCCATTTCCTAGTTTTAGTGACTAACCCTTAGAGTGAGGCTTGTTTTTGACGAAATTTTCCCTTGTTCTAGTCCTTCAAGCATGAACTTGTTTGGTGCCTGCATATTACCTACATGAGCATGTGTGTACAAACATATATAGTGGTCTCATTCCTCTTGTATGTTACCTTATGTAATGATTGGTAATTGAATGAAAGTTTTTGCTTTGAATATATTATGCTCTTCTGTGTGCTTTGCACACCAATTGAAAAACTACTTATGTGTAAGTTCGCAACCCTTACAAAAATACTTACCAAGGAAGGAAGGAGATCACTGCAGCAAAGGGTTGTTCATAGAAGTAAGCTTCATTTATCTCCAACTCCATTGCCAATTGTTTCAACACCTACATAAGAGTAGATCATTCCTTGAGCTTGTCATTTCCTCTATTGCCTTCTTAATTTTGGGCATATTAATTTGTTAGCACAGCTAGCACTGGCATTCAGGCTCTCTCATTGTATATATGGTCGTACTAATAAGCTAGGGGGGCACACTTAACCTAGCTCTAGCAGAAAATCTATTGAATCATTGGTGTTGTCGCAATACTTCAAGCGTCATTTATAACTTCCATTCATCCCATAGTAACTTGCACATGTTCTATGTTAACAAAGACTCATCATCATCATTAGACTTATCCCAACAACTTGGGCCAACAAGAATTTACAGGTATTGTTCAAAATTAATAGATAATTAGGGAAGATAATCTTTCAAAAGCTTAACTGGCAGCTTCATACTAATAGTAAATAAATTTGCGGTACTCGTATCAAGGTTTTCAGGATAAAAAAGTATAGCACGTAAAGCCTCTGTGCAGAAATTTCACTCTCCACGCATGCATCGCTATGCGTTATCAACGGATAAATCTCCAGCACACTAGTAAACATACTGGACATTAATTATTTGCAGTTACTATAGCTAAAACAACAATCTAACCCCAAAATTCACAAAAAGTTCCAACTAGATAGAATCACACTACTGAAGCTCGGCAAAGAATCCCTTTCAGCTCCAATAACGGATGTAAAGAATCACAAGATGAACTAAGCAATCTATCGCACTTCTATCGCACTCACAGAATTTTATTTAAAAGGTCGGCACATTCAAGATAATGGCTGAAGTGACGCAACACTATAATACAAAACGCAAGATAATATTAAAAGAGAATAAGATAAATTGCCATTAACAAGCCTTCTATAATGAAATAAAAAAAAATATCCACAGGTTCATATGAATTGCTCAGCCAGTGACAAAGAAGCACCTTATAATCGAAGAAATGGAAGAACTTCAGGCCGAAATCCTTAGCACGCTCACTAGATCTGAATCCGGATCGCCCCCCAGATTGGTGGAATCTATACTTCCAGGGTTTTATGAAGCTCAACGTTACTGCTACTGTTACTGAGAGCAATGATTTACAGTGCCTGTGCGTATGCAGCGAGAGCGAAAGGTGGGTGGGCTTAGCGGCTGTTTGGCTACGAGCCTACAAGTAGTATTAACGAATTCTATATTAAAAAAAAATATTAATTCAGTTTTAATAAATTTTTTAATATTTACTATTTAAAATTTATTTGAAATGATAAATATTTTAATCTCGAAATATACTATTAACTTGCTTGAGTATTTATTTTAAGATTTAAAATTTAAAAGAAATATACTAAGAATCTCTTGGGACAATTTATTTTTTACTTTTTTTTTTTCTCAAATTGAAATTATATTTTTTATTTGACATATTTTCAATATATCTGATGATTAAATATTTTTCAGCCACTGAATTTAATTATATGAATGAAGGTAAATTATTTGATATTTTTAAATAAACATGTTTTTTTTTAACATGCCATGTGAGTTGAATGTAAGGCTTCATATGCCTTAACAATCTGAGAGCTCATAATATTGATCATAATTCTCCGTTAAATAGAAGTTCATTAAAAGCATAATGCATCCCGATCACATTCAAAGATAATATATAGGGATTGCAACCGTCACCAGCTCGTAAATTTCACTCAGCCATTGCAAATGGAACGGTGATATAGTAATAATAATAATTTTATTGTTTTTCATATACATATAAATTAAAATTGATGTAATATTAGAAAAATCATTTGATCAAGTGAGAATCATCCGAAAATATTCAAATGGTAAACTTTTGAAATTAAATTCAATATCATCTAAAATCTGATTTTAGCAAATTTATAGTCGAATTAAATACATGGATGAGGCGAACCTATCGACATCAAAAGTGAACTGATTGACATTCAAATGAGCTCAAATCAAGCACAATTAAAAATATTTTAGACGTTGACTAGATGATCAAATAATCTCTGAATCTTGTATAGTTATAATCTAATAAAGCGTCTCAACAAGAAAAATCTAAAAAAGCCAAGATAAATTAATTCTAATATCATTAAGACACCTGAAGACTAACATAGCGGGCTATGATCAAGAGGATCAATGCATATTATTTGATGAAATGTTTCGAATTTAAGTTATATTTATAAACTTTCAAAATCTATAAATAACCCCATCCCCTTCCCCTCTTGAGAAGAACATTGTCTTAAGATTCAAGAGATATTGAACTCTTAAAGAATCTCAATGCTCCACTTGATCGCCACAGTCGACTTGTCGCCCAACTATCGACGTTGGATCACTCTTTGATTATTATCGCTCAATTATAGCCTCCTAAGCACTGTCACCCGACTATGATCCATTAACCATTATCACCTAACTAAAAACTCCTGACTGTAATGCCACAACTATTATAATCTTGGCACCATCACTCGATTGCCACCATCGAACTATTGCCTAACTGCTAACAATGGACCACCCTCTTACTATTATAACTCAATTTTTTGACCACCGTCACTCGACTATGATCAATTGACCACTTACTACCCAACTATGATATCCTGACTAACTTCACATAACAACAATCCCACAACTATTATCGCATTACTACAATCTTATACTACCTTCACTAAACTATAATTATCTGACCAATATTGCCAAACTATAAACCCCCGACTACCATCACTAGCTAGTTAAAGAGAGGACGAGAGAGATGCGAGATAGGAATTGCTCCAAGGTGTTTTTGTCTGTAATTTATATTATGAATTTGTTCTAATTGAAGTAATTAACTATATTTTTAGTCATGTTTTTTAATGTCTTGATCTTTTCTAAGTATTTTATTTCTCCTGAATCGCCAAAAATGTATTTCTTCAAATTTATCAAATTTTTATTGTGCAACTTTTTCTATATGATATATATGAATTACATGAATATTTTGACTATAATACTATTGAATTTCACTAAATAATTTGGTATTTGTGATTTTCTAATTTTTTAAAGTTAATGAAATGTATTTAGATTTTTTAGATTTTCTTATATTTCATAGATTATTATATTTCATATATGGCATTAACTTATTTTGCATATAAAAAAAATGATATGACTAATGCAAGATTAATGTGGCAAGACTAGTTGTTACTATTATAATTAATATAGATTGACTTCTAAAATATAATACAACTTAAAATAATAAATATATATATATATGATACATAATGGTATTAATTAATGATAATCAGCTTGATAACTAAAATGAATTAGTCATTGAAAAATTATATGACACTTTGATTAATCAAGAATAATTAATGAATTTTACTTAAGCTAATTATATATAATAAGCCATTAATTGATTACTTGAGCGGATGATGGCCAATTAATCATTGATTGGTAACCTTTTTTTTTCCGGCGGAAAATAATCCTCTACATTGATTGGTTACTTGAATACTAAATTATAACAATCTCATAAATTTTATATAAAAATATTTTATTTAAAAAGGTACTTATAAATATTTGAGTATCAAATTAGTTAATGACTTAGATCAATACGAGTCAATGAATTATTAAGATACTCAATTAGTAGGGCTACGAATGAACAGAGCTAAGCTGAGCCGTGTAGATACTTGCTCATATTTGAGTTCATTTATTATCATTTTGCTTGTGTTCGTTTGAGCTCGATTCAAGCATGCCTACTTGAGTTCAAGCTTAGTTTGTTTAAATTGATGGATGTTCATGTTTGGTCCATGTTTGATTTGTTTCGTACTTATCAAACTTTAAACAAATCAGCCTTATCAGGCTACTATCGAGTTCTAATTATACATGTTCATTAGCTTAATAAATGAGCTTTATCAAGCCTACTAACAAAGAATTACCTTTGAGCATGTTTGCAAACATATATAGCGATAGTTTTCCAACTGTCAAACTTGCTTGTTCACAAATATTTATAACTGGTGTTTTTGAGCTACCAAACATGCTTGTTCTCAAACATAACTTGCAAGTATTTTCAAGCTACCAAACGAGCTCGTTAAAAAAAAAAAAAGAAAAAAAAAAAAAACTAGCTATAATTCTTCTTATATGTAAGCTTATTCATGAATACTTTAAACAAATAATCTATAAAACATGAACAAATATCTCTTATTCATGAACAACTGTGAAGTTTTTCAGCAAATATTTTATTTTTTGGCCGACGGGGTCTCCGAGTGGCATAGAACCGAAAGAGGTGGGCTCATGAGCCGGCTGAGTAGCATGGGGGAGAAAGATGAGGGTTTGGTGGGACTTAAGCGGTGTAATGGAGAAAGACAAACTAGTGAATGACTAGGGTTTGGTATTTGACTATTTGTACTTACTTTCATTCTCACGAGCTCCTTATCGAATAAAGAATTGTTCTTAACAAGCTTCACGAGCTTCTTATAGAGTATATTCATGAACATAAATGAGTTAAATACATAACTATTTAAGATTATTTAATTAATAATCAAATATTTTAAAAAGAATATTTAAAATTAATTAATTAATCAAATGATCATAAATGTACTCTAAAGTCTAAGGGCATCTCCAACCGACCTCCAAACGCTTGAATGGAGCTCCCGGCCAGCTCCAGCCGATCTGCAAAATTTCCGCTATATGGCTGCGGGTGAACAGTGGGACGCCAATATTGGCGTTGCACTGTTCATCTCCGCCATTTTTACCACTCTACCGAACTTGTCGCGGGAAAAAAAGAGGCGACGGTTAACTGCAAAAGGGTGAAAAACGCGTTCCATTGGAGATGAAATCACGGCATTTTGTAGTTTCCGACATTTTGGAGTGAAAAAAAATGAGATTTTCGGTTGGAGATGATCTAAAGCCTCGCTCGAATTGCAACCCTATCTATCAATTAGTACGAATTAGGCCGTGCCCAACAGAAAGGCCCAAAGTAACTCATTCCGCGTTTGTCCCCAGTTCTTCCCGAATTCGGTCTTTCTCCGCGTCTCTCTCTCTGCGCGCCAGATCTTCGAAAATCCATCGATGGCGGCGAACACCGCATCTTCCTCGCCACCTATACCTTTCCCACCTTCAAATGGCGGCGGCGATCAAATGGCTCTGCCCAACGCTCAAAACCCTAGCCTCTCCTCTCCTTCGATTGCCCCCTCCCCTCCCTCCATCGATCTCCCCCAGATCTCTTCCCCTCAGCTCGCCCACTCCCAGCCCCAGATCACTCCCACTGGAACATTAGATTTCTCGACGAAGCCGTTGGCAACAACTCAGCAACAGCAGAGCAGTACTTTGTCACCGAGCTCCAACTTTCAGATGCAGCCAGGGCTCCAACGGTCGGGGTCCATGCAGCGGGTGAACCAAATACAGCAACAGTTTGGGACTGCTATAGGGGCCGCCAGCTCCATGAGACAAGGGGTGTACGGCGGCCAAATGAGCTTTTCCGGGCAGCAGCAGCAATTGGGCAATGGAATTGCTAGGCCAGGCATGATGGGTCAGGCTGGGCAGCTTCCCATGCTTTCCAACCAGGCTGCGGCACATTTCAATATTCAATCACAAATGCTGGCTCAGGTAATTAGTTGCTGTAGGGCGAAGATATTTCAACCTAATTGTCTTTGGAGAATCATTTCTAAACATAAATTGTCTTTACTTTCGATGACTGCATTTTAATTCAAGTTCGGATACTTCGTTTTTTCGTTTTTAAGGAGAAGTGTCTTCAGCTAACAAGGTAGGCCCTGGTTGATTTATGCTCGGTTATTTGTGATGAGTGAAGCATAGATGTATACTATTGTGAGTTTACTCGAGCTGAATTTCTAGAGTTCCTTTTTTTTGGAGAGGCGGAAAATTTATTACATTTTGTATGAGTATTGGGAGGAATTATTACGCGCGGAGTCTGGACGTAGCTGTCTTCCGAATTCATGAGATTGAGCCAGGCTTGCTTGTACGAGGAATTATTTTGTGCGGAGTCTGGACGGGAAGAACCGTCCGGACTGTAAGTGTTCACACACTATGTGCATAGTATGCATAGTGTGCATCACATTGATTAATTATTTCGTGTGGAGTCCAGACCATTCAGATTGCTGCATATTTGCTGAGTATTTGTAAATACTCAACAAATATGCACCAAACTCTCAAAAAATACACATCAAATACTTAGTTGTGAGTATGTGCTGAGTATTTACTGTGTACAGTAAATGCTCAGCAAATACACAACAAATTTGGACTGTTCTTTCATCTGGACTCCGCACGTAATAATCTCTTGTGTCAAATTTATGTACACACTATGTGTACACTTACATGTCCGGACGATTCTTCTTGCTTGAATTCCGTACAAAATAATTCCTTCGCTTGTACACAATGTGCAAGTCGAACACACTACTGGTCAGGATGCATCCTAACTCTGCACATAATAATTTATAGAGTTTTGGGCCCATAAATGCTTCTTGTGTGTGAGGTGCACATGGGTAATTGTACAAACATAATTATAAACTTGAATAGAAGCAACGCAGATTAATTAATGTTAATTAATACAAAATTTAGAGGTACAATGGAGGCGTCTTTTGTTGTTATGAAATTTTTTTCTATTTTTTAATTATAAAATGACTGAAATTTTTTTTATCATCAAATTGAAATATTTATGGGTTAAAAATGCTTCTTGCAAGAGAGGCTCATCCTGATTGTTTATATTTTGTTAATAATCTTTGTTTTTACATTTGTGCGAGTTATATGTGAAAATTTAGTACATTTAAAATAACTATGTAATTATAGAGTCTATAAAATCATCATTATCATTATTGTTAGTCTTGGTTACATTTTAGTGGAATCATGGAATTTAACATTGGCTTTATAATTGAAGCTATTGACCTAACATCAACCCTTAGTCTCTTTAATCAATTCATATAAACTTGGGACCTACAATGATGATTTTATGAATTTGGTTAAAAACCAATCTACATAAAAGTTTTGCTTTTGCGCAGTGTAAAGAGATCTAATGATCATACATGTTTTATACTTCTAATTGAAAATTTATTTGTTAAAACCAGAACAATAATTAAAACCAATTTTTCTTCCTTATTTTAAAAGGTTGATATTGGTTATATTTTGTTTTCCATTGTGCAATCTCAACTTGATCATGACGATGTTAGTTTCTTAAATATTGATGTTAATTTTGAGAGAAAAAAATGTTTTTATTGCATAGAAATTTAAGATGATTATCTTTTAATTATAGGAGAGTAGAGTTATTAGATTTGACTTATGTTAAGAAAGGTAGGGGTAGACCTAAAAAGACTTGGTTAGAAAATATTAGGAATGACCTTTCTTTATTAGATTTAAATGAGAATTTGACTTTTAATAGGACACAATGGAGAAAAATGATTCATGTAGCCGACCCCACGTAGTGGGATAAAGGCTTGATGATGATTTTGTTGTTGTTGTTGTATCTTTTAATTATAGGAGAGATTACATATATTTTAGTCATTTAGCATTCTTCATGAAAGCTATGTAAGCACATAAAAATATAGATATTTTTTTAGCTTATACAAAGTTTGGTTTTTGAAATACTTATCATTTTTTTCCCTTTTTCATTCCTAATTTTTACATCCTTCTTAGATCTATTAAAACAACTCTTTAAAATATATTTATTTTTTTAATAATTTGCATAAATAATATTTTTGAGTTGGTTTTGTTGAAAATCAAGCAACATATAGCCTATAAATGATGCAATTTAGATTTTTAAAATAGATAAATAATAATTTATCTATTTTAACGAGAATGTACCATGGTGTATGCTTTTTGCTGATGATATTCTTCTTGTCGATAAGACTAGAGAAGTAGTTGATGGTAAACTTGAATTATGGAGGTCAACCTTAGAGTCTAAAGGTTTTCGTTTGAGTAGATCTAAAACCAAATATATGGAGTGTAATTTTAGTAGTAATAGATCTAGTGGGGGGGATTGTGACTTTGGATCTATTGCTCAGAGTGATAGTGAAATAGATGGGGGTAAATTCAAGTTGGATGGTTGAAATGGAGGAATGCATCAAACTTGTTGTGTGATAGAAAAACCCCCCTCAAATTTAAGATAAAATTCTATAAGATGGTGTTGAGACCTGCAATGCTTTGTGGTGCAGAATTTGTCCATTAAAAGAGAAGCGTAATATTAAGTTAAGTGTTGCAGAGATGAGGTCCATGAGGATGCTCAGGTGGATAAGTGGTTTTACTTTTAGAGACAAAATACGAAACGAGCATATACGTGAAAAGGTTGGAGTAGCACTTGTGGAACATAAGATTAGAGAGAGTTTCCTTAGATGGTTTGGTCACATAAAACGACAACCTTCTGATGACCTGGTTAGAATAGTAGATGTATTATATTTGACTTATCTTAAGAAAGGTAGATGTAGACCTAAAAAGACTTGGTTAGAAACTATTAGTAATGACCTTTCTTTATTAGATTTAAATGAGAATTTGACTCTTTATAAGATACAACGGAGAAAAAAAGATTCATATAACTAACCATACATAGTGGGATAAAAGCTTGATGTTGTTGTTGTTGTATAAATAATAATTTATAGAGTGTATAAAATATATAACCAATTAATCACTTTCCCATACTTGCTTTCTTCATCAATAATAACCATAACTAATACAACAAAGCTAAAGACTAAAGAAGTTTTGTCAGATGGAACATGCATTAAAATATTTTGTCATATGTATAAGGTAGCGCTGGGAGTGTCAAATGGGTCAACGGTTTGGTTCGGTTTCGACTCAAAATTGACCTACCCCGAATCAAATCAGACACCCCGTTTAATAAATTGGTAAACAGTGCGGACTTGAACCCGACCCGCTAGCTACCCAAATGATCCAATAATTTGTTTCAATCATTTTTTATATAACTTTTTAACAATATATTTAAGGTTAATTAATAAAAAATAAGACAATCATACCAACAAATTTAAAAAATGTTAAAAAAATCTAAACGGATCAATTCAGGTTAAATTTGGGTTGATAGGTCAACCCGAATCCAACTTATTTATTAAACAGGTGAACCCGAACCCAAATTTATCGGGTCGGATTGGTGAGTCGAGTCATTTTTTGACACCCCTAGGTTGCGCCTTTATCTTCTTCCCTTTGCTCTATACTTAATTGTTCCCCTTACTTTTTTTGAAATAATGCTTGATGATAAAAAAAAATATTTTTATTCACATCAATCATATAACTCATGAGATCACATAAGAAAGTATATGAAATGGCAAGGGAAAGTTTTTTATGGCATTAAAGGGTTATTTTGCATATTATATATATATATATATATATATATATATATATATATATGTCGGGTGTGAATATCATATATTAATGCGTAGCTACTTGGTAATTTCTCTTTCATCCAACTCTACTTTTATATGTAAAGGTTATGGTGGTATCATATATTAGTACAGTTACATGACGGGTGCTAGTGATACCATCATATTTTACTTTTATTGTTAAAGTTCTAATGATATTAATAAGTTATGATAATGATATTGTGGTAGGAGAAAAGTACGGTATGTACTGCTTTTAGCTACAGTTCATTTTCACTTTACATCTGTATGATTATTGAATGAGTACATTTGAAGTACAATTTTTGTGGGAAAACATGTTTGTTCGTACAGAGATGAGATATCTGATTTTTCTTCTTCTTGCAGCCAAGGCAAAAGGCAGGTTTGATGCAAAGTGCACAGTTTCAAAATGCAAATTCATCAGGTCAGGCACTGCAAGGCATGCAGGCTATGGGGTTGATAAGTTCCCTTGGTTTAAATTCACAGCTTAGAGCAAACGGACCACTTTCGTATGGGCAACAGCGTTTAACTGCTGGCCAGATGAGGCAGCAGCTCTCACAACAGGCTGCTCTCACCTCACCTCAGGTATGTTTCTAAGTTTAGCGTTAACAAATTAAGATTGCATAGCTTTCTTTGATTTAGTTATTGTTTTTGAGGCAAATACCTTGATGCTTTCATACAGTCTTTGGTAGATTAGATAAGGTTTCCTTCGGAGCTCTTTTGATGACCGTAGATCAACCTGTTTGGTTGGATCTCTTTAACTCTGCCCTTTTTTCAGCATCTTGAATTGCATTACACATTTACTTATATGGTAAATTAAACAAAGCAATTTACACTTCAGGTGCACTCTGTTGCAAAACTTTCTTTCGTCACGGTATTCAGCACCCAAAGCACGCTGGGCTTGAGTTATCAATTTTAATCGGAATTCCTATTTAAATTGTTGGATATGGTTCGTTTTATTCATTAACTATTTCAATTGAGCATGTGTAGCAGCAAGTATTCAGCACGGAAATGATAAATGTGTAATGTCAATGAAGTTACAAACTAAAATCCCATCTGAAACTAAATAGAAAGAGTTCAAACTAAAGTCCAACTCATTAAAGCCATAAATCTTATCAAGAATTAAGGACCTTATCTGATCTATATAAATAATCATAAAAGACCAAAGAAAGGCAATGGAAGCTTGAAAAATCCATATATAGATGATTCTTGGATGATACTTCGTACACTAAGCTCCATTATTATAAAGAATGTAGACAATCAATAGAAACTCAATACAATAATCCAAAGAAGTCCTCCATCAAACCTATTACCTATATATTGTTTCATCAAAATATTTTTAAAAAGTTATCATGCCTATAGAATTTCTTTATATCTGCGACAAAGGGAGCTATGATTCTATTATCATAAGATCTAATAAGAGCTCCAAATATATTTTAGCCATGAGGAAGAAGGAAGTGCTAAAAAGCCCCATAACCAATTTGCAATCTCGGAGGACAAAACAATACCAATGAGCCAAGCTTCATAAAAAATTATAAAGGCTAGCAAGATCCAAAATAATGCATTGCCTTTTACATTATTAAGAAAATCCCGACGAGGAATATAAGTCTTGGCCATGCAATCCAGTTCAATGTTGGAAGAGAAACTTCAGAGACAAGAATGTAGTTCTAAACTTTCTCCTGATAAAAGAAATGATGTAAGCAAAGCCAACCCCTTTTTGGGTTAACTTGGGTTTGGTGGTAGCTGAGCTGCTCCTTTGCTTTGGGCTATTCGGTTCCTGCTCTCTGCTTTCCCGGTTCCCCTTGCTGGCTGTTTGGTTCCCTCTACCTTTTGTCTCGGTTCCCCTTGCTGGCTGTTTGATTTCCGCTCCCTGCTTTCCCGGTTCCTCTTGCTGGATGTTCGGTTCCTGCTCTTGGCTGTCCCGGTTCCCTTGCTGTGGTTGTTCGGGTGGGGGTCCAACCATGCCTTTATTGCTGTTTCTTTCTCCCTTTTGGTTGGCTGTGGTGGGCGGTTGAGCATGGCTGTTGGCCTCCTTATCTTTTCAATTTATAGGACTGTTTTGTAGCTATTTAAGGAGAGTGAAATGTACTGATTTTTAGAAAAGAAAACCTGCGGGTTTTGTTCTAGCTTGCGAGGTAGCCTCGTTTCCCTTTCCTCAATTATTTCGTCTCGGAACTTCTAAACTATTTATTCTCTCCACAAGTTACATTCAATTGTATCTTTCTTCTCAAAAGTTGTAAGGCTTTATTAGTCATATAATATTGTTGTGTCGTTTTGTTCTATTTTTGTTATGTTTTAAATGAAGATGTTTAGTTTGGCTTTTGCAAATCTATTTCTTCTCTCCACAAGTTACCATTCCATTGTATTTTTCTTCTCAAAGCGTTGAAAAGTCGTATGGTGTTGTTATGTCCTTTTAGTTGTAAGGAGTGCTTGTGTTTGTTTAAGCTATTTTGGGATATAATAGTATCGTTTTGTTCTATCTGTGTATGTCTATGTCATTTCGAAAGGGAGACATCATCTTTGTTTGCATCAAGGAAGAATAATTTTCTTTTTCACGTGCAAAGGAATCATCACATTAATTCCAAGACTTGAATGAATAGCCGTGTCGTCTTTCATATTCTCAGACTTGTGTCTCTTAATTTTCTAATAATATTAAAAATTATTTTCAAAGACTTATCTTCAGTTAGAATGTGCAAACCATCAATTTTAGTGTTGGTAATTTTTAAATTCCTATCCAAATGAGAGGGGGAATTCAAAATTTTAGTTTCCTGAAAACGCCTTATTGGACTATGCAAATTGGAGTTAGGTAATTCATTAATGCCATCCTTGTAAAATTCATCCCAAAAAGAATGCATTAATCACCTTATTAGTCAAATAAGGTATAATGTTTATTTTTAATTAAATAAGGCATAATCAAGCTCTAATAGAGCTTTAAACGAGCCTTAAACATAACCTTAATTGAGCTTCTTAACGAGCATGCTCACGAGCTTTAAACGACATTGTTTGTGAATATAATCGAACAGAATGACAAGCTGTTCAAGCTTGTTTATTTAGCTATTGAGTATTTTTCAAATGTGTTTAAGCTCGTTCGTTTATCTTATCAAACGAATATAAACGAGCTCTTATTGAGCCAAGTCACGAGCAGCTCGTCGAACGCTCGATTCGTTTACAACCCTACTCAAGGGACCCCGAATGATCTCACATTTTCTTACAAAGAGTTATATTGACATGGTAATATTCAAATCACTTCTTATATTGATGTTTGTGTGTATCTATAGAAGAAGACCTCTCATCATGGCATCCAAGCAAAGTTTTGGAAATTTGCAAGGTGAAACCCTTAACATGACATCCAGAATAAATTTTGGATTCTACATAGTCAATTAATTTGCAACAAATATGGTACGGTCTACTCGTGTATAATATTTATTAAGAGGCATTTGTTGATTTCTATATGTATCCCGCGATCGAGTCGAGCAAATACCACATAAATTGAGGCCAATTGATTAGAAAATGAAAAAATTATCCTAAAGTCATCCATTCTTGAAACGAATTGTGTCAACGCATGCAGGACTAGAATTTACTCAAGAAGGACCCGCGCTTGTACTTCAACTTAGCACAGTGAATACAATGAACCATGGATGCGAGGTCGCATGAAATTTTCCTTAACGTCTTTCGTTCACAAAATAGATTGCGTCGATATATGTGGAACATCAAAATGGCCCAATTTGTACTTACTGTAAATGCTTAACCTTAACTATTTGGGTTCAACTTTATTAATCTTTATTCATGTTTACTTAAATTAATTATTTAATGATGTGGTGTTAGATTTTATTTTATTTAAAATATTTTACGCACCTTCAAACAATCATACCTTAAGTTTAGCTCTTTTCTCTCTTTTTTGTTATTTGTGTAGATATTTGATTCTTTTTAGTAATCTTAGCTTTTACTATAAATCATGTTGCATGAGAATTTGATTATTTCTTTATTCAGGCTTTGATCTTTGGTTTAACTATCTTTCTTACAATTATTGTGGGTCTTTAAAGCTAATGTCATTGTCTATTGATAATAATGGCATACGCCATGCTTTCTTTAGTTCTATTGATCTAAGAATTCCTCAAGATGAGCATTTAAGATAGACAGCTTGAGAATCTTTTGAATATAAGAATTATGGTTTTGTTGATTTTTGAAATTGCTCTCAATATCCATTTGGGCATCATGTCATAACTATTTGAATAATTGGTGATAAAGAAATTGAAAATGAGATATGGTTAAAATAATTTAAAGCTCATGTATTAAGTTTGGACATTTATGTGTATAAAATTATTATTTCTCCCAAATCATCCTCTTACTAAAATTATTATTTTCTCCCAAATCATCCTTTTACTAAAATCTTTAGACATTGATGTGTATAAAATTATTATTTTCTCCCAAATCAACAACAACAACAACAACAACAACAACAACATCAAGCTTTTATCCCACTATGTGGGGTCGGCTACATGAATCCTTTTTCTCCATTGTGTCCTATTAAAGGTCAAATTCTCGTTTAAATCTAATAAAGAAAGGTCATTCCTAATATTTTCTAACCAAGTCTTTTTAGGTATGCCTCTACCTCTCTTAACATAAGTCAAATATAATACCTCTACTCTCTTAACCGGTTCATTGGAAAGCCATTGTTTTCTCCCAAATCATCCTTTTTTACTAAAATTTATTAGAGCTATTGCGAAGTTGTGATAGCATTATTGATGAAATAGATAGTTTTAAGTAAAAGTTATATAAACTCTAAGTACATTTTCAATGCAGACTCTTGCTTGCTTACACATCTTCCATGACCTTTATAAAGACCCATCATATCATCCAAAGAAACGGAAAAGACCAAAAAGTTCGAATTGACAGCTAATAACATTGATTCAATTGACATTGACATAATAGGAATATTTCGTCTATTAAGAAGGATTCCCCGAATACCTAAAATAGAGATGATCATAGAAAATGTGAAATATTTGAGAAGATCCATTTTGGAAACGTGGAATGTCAGAAAAATTCCAATTATGTGAGGTGTCTAACTGAGGTACCTGCTAGGGCATAATTGTAAAATACCTTCTAAGATTCATTAGGGGTACTAGGAGATAAGTGTATCTGGTACCCTCTTGATCAAGGATATTATTGGGGCTAATCCAAGGCTATTTGTTCCAGTGCATAAATTGGTATCTAAGCTAATATCCCCCGTTAAGAAGGAGGTTTGACATAAGTAATTTACCCATAGCCCTATATAGAGATAGTTGGGCTAAAGGTAGGCATCATACTGGATGTATAGTACTGTTGAGGGTATGCGAGAAAACTATATGTAATTACCAATCCTGGAGAGAACACCTTTGATTAATTCCAACAAGATACCCATCTCCGGCTAACCCTCATTGAGAGTATTTGCCACATTTGAGGCTTTTTGGTGTTAACCTATTTGGTAGCTTTACTTATTAAACTTGTCTTCTCTATATAGTTTTTTTGTGCAAGTTTGATGAGGGCTAGCATCTTTTGATGACAAAGGCTATGGAAGATGTGGCAGGCAAGCAAGCAAGAGCTTG